GTGAAGCTTCACCATCCCTTTTCTTCCCTCCTCTGCTATAGCATCATGGAGTCTTGCTCTGTGGTGGAAATAAGGCAGCCACCTTCAATTTTGTGTGCCAAACACATTTTTATCCTCCTCCTTGTCTCAGGACACTAAGATAGGAAAACATGAGGTAAGGAAATACAGATAAAGAGGTAGAGATGATGTTGATTTATTATTATTATTATTATTATTATTATTATTAATACCCCGCCCATCTGGCCAGGCCTCCCCAGCCACTCTGGGCGGCTTCCAACAGGATATTGAAAACACAATAAAAGATGAAACTTTAAAAACTTCCCTAAACAGGGCTGCCTTCAGATGTCTTCTAAAAGTCAGATAGTTGTTTATTTCCTTGACATCTGATGGGAGGGCGGGCGCCACTACAGTGGTACCTCGGGTCAAGTACTTAATTCGTTCCGGAGGTCCGTTCTTAACCTGAAACTGTTCTTAACCTGAAGCACCACTTTAACTAATGGGTCCTCCTGCTGCTGCCACACCGCCAGAGCACTATTTCTGTTCTCATCCTGAAGCAAAGTTCTTAACCTGAAGCACTATTTCTGGGTTAGCGGAGTCTGTAACCTGAAGTGTATGTAACCTGAAGCATATGTAACCTGAGGTACCACTGTACTGAAAAGGCCCTCTCCTTGGTTCCCTGTAACCTCAGTGTCCGGGCAGAATGGTGGGGGTGGAGAGGCTCCTTCAAGTATACTGGGCCCAAGGCCAATAAAGTAGGAAAGTGAGAGAGGCTGAGAGGCAAGCCAGTCAGTGATGTTCAGGTAAAGCAGGTATGGGAAGGAAGTCTTTGAGCCTCCAGATGTCGCTGAACTACAACTCTCACCAACCCCAGCAAGTATTGCCAATGGGCATGGATGATGGGAGTTGTAGTTCAGCAACATTTGGAGGAACAGAAGTTCCTCACCTCTGCTTTATAAAGAGAAAAGTCAAGCAAGCCTCTTTTTCTAGTAATCTTTACCTCAGCTGATGGGGCCTTTCCTTTCACAAAGGTATGTCCGCAGGTGGGTGGGTTTGCATTCCTGCCTTCTACCCACATATACAGCCTCACCCATGAATCGGCATACTCAGATATGCTCATTTCAGTGTTTTTTTTTCTTAGACGGAAGGATTGTGGGAATGGACTTGGCGTGCAGGTTGTGCTGTTAGTCATCCTGTGGCTTTTGTTAACATACATGATTTCAGAGTGCCCAAAACAGGTTTCTTCTCTTAGCATCTGCTGTGACTGTTGGTTCTGGCATTTCTGAAAACCTGCGTTGCACGTTGCCAAGCAGTTTTTTTGGTGCCGGCTGATCTCTCGATGTATGTAGCAGCTCTCATATGTAGTCTGCTCACATCTAGAGAAATAAATCATTGAGGCAGCTGCATCATGAGGACGATCCACAGAGTATGTAATGTTTTTGAACGACTTTGCTCTGCTATGAACTCCGGTTGCCATAGTTCCTTTCCATATCTAAACAGATGGATAAACAGAAAAATCACTCATCTCTGTATCTGAGAATCTGGCTACTACTTAGTACAATATTGAGGGAAACAAAGAAACATGCAGAAGGAGGTCATCTGAGAAAGGTAGCCCGTTCTTCATAATACCCAGTGCAGGTTTTTAGCAGACTCCTCCACTGACAATCTTATATAAAGCCTGCAAAAGCCATTGGATCTGGTCATATCTGCATATTCATTTACTCTGAAATTTATAAGAGGTTTCTGAAAGCAGGGAAGCTCCTGCTTTCTATCTGAAGCATAAATGAAGCTAATCGGAGTGTCATAATGAATGTGTGCAGTTCAGCAAACTTTATTACACCAGTCCTTAGCAGCGAAAATGATTGCCTTCTCTGTCGCTTCCTGTTTAAGCCTAAAGCTTGGCTTTCCTAGAGCTGTGTTCATAATGTCTGTGGGTGGATGAAAGAGTTGTGTCAAGGCATATTATATGTTGTGAGCCATTCCTTCACCTTTATATTTTGACAGCCCCAATCTGCGAGAGCCAGCAGCAAGGGACCCAGCTAACTGTGGACTTTGCTCACACAGCTGCCATCGCTTGGAGGAGTAGTGGCTCACTCTCTTGGGGCAAGAAGAAGCTATACTACCGATTTGTGTGAAAGGGGTGTATGGGAGTGTTAGCGGAGGGGTAGTACCTCTAATAGGGGACACATCCTTCCCATGTTGTTTGTCCACCTTTGGTCCCCACCCTGCCCTCAGCTCTCACCTGTGGCCCCTAGAACAGGCATAGGCAAACTCCGGCCCTCCAGATGTTTGGGACTACCATTCCCATCATCCCTAGCTAACAGGACCAGTAGTCAGGGATGATGGGAATGGTAGTCCCAAACATCTGGAGGGCTGGAGTTTGCCTATGTCTGTCCTAGAAGCTGTCAGCATGTGACAGCAGCCACACCCTGGGAACGGCTTCAGCTGGCTGGCCAAACCTAGTGAGGGTAGCCAATGGGTCTCAAATGTGAGTTAAGGACTTCCCCTGCATGCAAAAACAGGCTCTGACAGATTAAGATCAATAGTGGGTCCAATGGTCAAGAAGGTGGTTTGTGCAAATGCTGTAGAGGGAACTGAGTGGCAGATGAGGCACATCAACCTGGGAAAGTAGCCCATCTAGGAGAAGGAAAACTCTGATCCTAAACCTCCGCTGCTTTGTGGGATATCTTATGGAGAAGAAAAGGCTAATGATGAAGCCCTACAGAAATGGTCCCTAAGTGGAGTCCCTAAGATGGTTGGATGGTGTCTTGTACACCTCCTTCCAGCAACTCCTGCAGCCAAGCTGAGTTTGTGCTGAAGAGGGAAAGTGCTGGGTCAAGGGCTGACCCATTTTCTGATTTCTTAAAAATATTAAATCCTCTTTCTGAAAACGCCATGCCTTGTTAAAACGCTTCTTCTTCTTTTCTTTTCTTTTAAAAAAGGCATTAATTTGTGATCTTAGTGGAATTAGGAAAGTCAGCTCATCTTAAAGTGTAATCCATTTCATGAATAGTGTGCTTTCATTGCAGGATTTCTACAAGCAAGAATTATTTTTTATAAAACAAAACAAAAGATTCCATACTTTTAACTCTCCATTCTTGTTCCTAAAGAAGATCTCCAATGTCATAAGTTTAAGATGGACGAGTAGTGTGTCATTTAAAGGTACCCACCAAATGAATATTATCTTACTTTAGATATCTGGCTATAATATAGTGCTTTCTAAGTAGTATCCACTGTGAGCTGTGTTCTGTAATAGCTTTTTTTGTGCTGCAGAAACAATGTGATATATCTTACTGGCTCCACTTTGACTGCTGTTGGTACTTAAGATAAGCTGATCGGACAATGCAGGCTCCCAGAGATGTCATCTGGGCCGCTGTTCTTCTTCTCCACTTCTGCTCTGCCATGGTTTGGCTTAGCATATTATCTGAACCTGGTTTATCTCCTCTTGACAAACTATGAGCCTACAGACTTTGGCTACAGCTCATGGTTTGTGTAAAGCAAGACAGACCATGAACCTGAGTTTGAATATGCTACACCAAACCCATGGCTCAGTTCAAAGCAACAAAGCAGGGGTTCAGACCTGCTCCTTTTAGGGTTTGGGTGCATGAGAGAGTTACATATGAGGAACTCTGTCAGGCAGCTGAACCAAGCAGGATTGAACTCACACATCAGCTCATGTGCCGGTGGTTCAGTCCTGCTATCTACAGGAGAAGCAGCCACATCTCTACCTGCCCCATGCCTGGTGCCAAATTGGAAGTCCTGACGGGCCATATATGGACTGCAGGCCAGAGGTTACCCAGCCCTGGACCAGGTGTCCAGTGTACCTCTGATTAGTGCAATCTTCATTGTGCTGGTATCTATGACACACCACCATCTGCAGGCAGGACTGGGTGCTGTGTCAGCCAAGTTGTAGGCCATCAGGAGTAGAACCGACATAGGGTGGTTGTGTGTATGTGTACTATGCTGTTACTTGTTGGTTTAAGAACTGTTCCTGTTTGGTGGCTCTCTTGGCGTCAGCTGAAACTACATCAAGTGTGCAGTTTGGACAAGGTCCTTGACATTCCCTGAGGGGCACCATTTTCTTCTGCCAACCTAAGAGGCCAAAATTCATTCCAGACCCTACGGACTGAAGCTCTTGATTAGAAGCTCTAATGAACTTGCATCCAAACCAACTTAGCATTCCTGCCCTTCAGCCCTTTTCACATAGACTAGTCCTTTTCAGAACCTCACACATTCTTGCCGTTTTCCAGCGTACTCTGTCTCTCGTCATCCATTCTCATTTCTCAACATTCCACTCCCTCCACTTAACCTTCTCTCAGAACAGGTTTATACTGAGCATGTGCGGGCCACGCTCTTATGAAATCCCGCTGACTATCATTAGCCTCGGAAACGGCTTTTTAATAAAAGCTGCGAAACGTTTACGCTTTGTTAGAGGAAAGCACGTTCCAGGTGTTCCTGTTGACATGTCACAACAACCCATTTCTGCAAACACACCGTACAAATGGAGAAATGTTTCCGGCAAAAGCCACCCCAAACACACACTTCCTGTCCATCTGCAGAAGTCTCTCATCAAACGGTTGTTTAGAATAAGTCATTTCTTATCCTTTCGACCCTAAGTTCAGGATTGATCACCCTCAAACTTACCTCTCATGCAGTGCCAAATTTCAAATCGGCCCATTGAACCATTTTCTAACTATAAACTGTAGTTCCTCCTCCTGCCCCCCACCCCAATTTCTTATAGCAGTGGGGTGTGAATCACCCTAGATGTACAACTGCAGCAGCATGCCTTTTGTCCGACAACGGCTGGCAGGCTCTCATTTACTAAACGGAACCTTAATTCTTTTGTTTTTGAACATTCTTACTCCTGACAGTAGGCCCCAGTAGTATGGTGTGTGTTAGAAATCTTCTTAAAGATAACTTTGAATAATGGAACTCTTTCAGGGGGACTTTGCTTCACCTCAGGAGCTTTCCTTGAGTTCTCACTCTAAGGATTCTTTTGACAGAATGCTTGTCCAGGTTTGCCTGTACTTCTATTGCAAATGCTTATGGCGCTGCCTGAAATTCGTGGCGAGGAAACTGACGGGACGCTGCGAGTTGCAAAGGATCTGCTACAGCACAAAGCCTGGCGCTGGCAGAACTATGAAAATCGGTAAGTGGTTTTGAAACCATTGCTCTGGTAGTTAATGTTGTTCTGTGCCGTAATTGCTGTGTGTATGAGAGAGAGAGAGATTACACTGCAGTATATAGCTTTAAAATTAGCTTAGGTCTCAACTTGCATTTTAAACTGTAGCCTCGAGCAGAATGTCAACATACCCAGTCAATTGCAAACGCATTTTACGTTACTGAACCAATATAGCTTGCCTTTTCGTTGGTATCAGTATGAGAAGCTTCTTCACTGTTTGTGGGGATTTGGCTACACATTTTTGTAACTGCATAAGAAAAGAGGAAAGTTGGGAAGGAGAGAATTACAAAGGTTTGTGATAGTATTTTCATTGTTGGCTGTGTTGTTGAAGATGCAAAAAGTCTAATAGAAGTTAAAAGTTTTTAAAATGTTTTCTTGACAGAATCGTCACTGAGAAGTTCAAAAAACAAGGTAAGTAAATGTTTGTGTTTTAGTCTCCATGTTTGGCTGATTGTATTAGCAGCTTACACAGGCTTACAAGCAAGAAAACCTCCTTGCCAACATACGAGGCCACATTAGGCCAGTGTTTCCCAACCACTGTTCCGCGGCACACTAGTGTGCCGCGAGATGTTGCCTGGTGTGCCGCGGGAAAAATTAAAAAATTGAAAGATTTTTTTTTTTTAAGTCAAATTTTCGATTGGGGCACCGTCACTAGATGACCCCTGGGGTTCCCTCCCTCCCTCCCGCTCTGCGCCTCCCTCCTCCTCCTCCTCCTCCTGGGGAGGCCCTTCCTGGCTCTCGGCCAAGGCTTGGCGGCTGCCACTCACTCACTCGCTCGCCCACCCGTCCCTCCATCCCTGCACCCGGCCTCTCCCCCTCCGTCCCCGGCGCGGGGGCTGCCGGGATCCGTAGTCCCCTCGCCCTTGGGCTCCGCGCCCGTGCGGGGTGCGCAAACTACGTTTCCCAGCGTGGCCTGGCGGGCCGGGCGTTTTGTTTGAAGCGCTCTTCTCCCGGCCATGGAATGAGCGCAGCGGCGGCGGCCTGGCGGGCAGGGGCTCTTCCGCGCAGACCCCGTGCAGCCTGCCTGCGCCCCCGCGGAGATCGGGCGGCAGGATGGAGCCCGGGGATCCCCGCGGAGGCGGAGCGGCGGAGGCGGAGGCTGCCCCCCAGGTAGGGCTGCGTCGGGGGGGTTTTATTTTTGCAATGCTGCATCTGCGCCGGAGGGGACGCATCGGACCGCGGGGAGACCCCTTGGCGGGCGTGCAAGGCAATGCATGCGTGCAGGCGTTGCATGGAGTGCAGTGCAATGCAATGGCAACGCGGCGCCCTGCATGCATGCATGCAACTTCCACCGGCGCTCCGGACTTGGCAGGTGAGGGGGGTCCCCAGTGGGCGGCAGAGAGAGCCGGGAGGGCGAAGGGGAGCCGGGGGGGAGCAGCGCTGCTCCCCGAGCCGAGCCCGGGGGGAAACTTCGGCGTCGTTGCGCCGGGTGTTGGAAGCGGAGGCTGGCGGGGGCCCCTCACCTGCAAAACCTGGTCGCCTCTCATATATTTCGTGCATTGCATTCATCGCCCGCTTTCTCCTCCAAGGAGCTCCCGGGGGCGCGCGTGGTTCTCCCCGTGTTATCCTCGCAACAACAGCCCTGCGAGGTGGGTCAGGCGAGTGGCCCAAGGGAGCACCCAGGGATTGTCCTGGCCAGGTGGGGTGATTTGAACCCTGCTCTCTGCCCGGTCTTCGTCCTCATTTAGCCCCCACATGTGCATGACTGTGCATGACTGAGGTTCCCCCCCTCGTCTTGGCTATGGTGTGAGTCTGTGCTGTTAATTAATGGGGTTCTGCCTTCGGAGAAGATGAGCCAGCCCTCAAGGAGGTGATTATGTAATTTGCTAGCAATTCATGTCCCTCCCGGCGTGACGCTGCGCGCTGACGTCACGGGGCTGTAATGGTGGTGTGCCTTGAGATTTTTTTCATGAAACAAGTGTGCCTTTGCCCAAAAAAGGTTGGGAAACACTGCATTAGGCCATTCATGCAGCCTTGCATTTAACTACTTGCCTGGTTGCCAGCGGAAACTAGGAGTACCTTGCAGGCGAGTGCATTGAATTCCATCTACGCAAGTAAGCAGACTGTGGGAGGAGGAGCTGATATTTGTATTGTTCCCTCCTCTACCAACCTGCTTGGCTTTCATGTGGGCTGCAGAGTGCTCAAGAAGACCCAAAGTCAGCTGGTTGTCAGGTCTTGAGAAGCCCCTTTAAGAACTCTTATCATGCACAGCACTCTGAAAGCGACTAAGCAACACTCAACCAGCAACTGATTGTTGGGTCTTGCTAAGCCCTATTCAAAGCACTGTCTGTGAGCGTAATTGAGCGAGTAATTGGCAGAATGTTTTGTACGCTGAAAAGTGGTATAAAATTCAGGAGAACATTAGTCTTTATCCAAGCATATGTTAGCGAGATATCATACAGAATAATCTACGCAGATTTCAAGACCATCAAGGAATATTGCTAAGCTTTGTACCTCAGTTTCTAAGATGCCAGGCATTTTGCAACTTTCCACATTTTTCCTCCCAACACCCTTTTGAGTTAGGACACTGCTCAGGCCAGGAGACAATTTTGTATCTTTCGTATTTTAATGCAGACATATAAAATTTGCGTTTCCCGAACCAATATTTGAATCAAACACAACTGTCCTTCAAAACTCATACTTCTCCAAATTTGCAGTGCAGGCCCAAAAATGCTTTGAGTAGTTAAAGCAATGTACAAAAATGCATTCTTTCATGGGAAAATTGTGGGAATGCAATGGTTCTTGTATTGGGAGAGAGATGTACGCAATATTGCATGCCAATTTCCAAACAGACTTTCATTTTGTAAAAAATTTACAAACACGAGTAAACCTACTTAAGACTGCAGAAATAAGAATTGGAAGGAAACAGAAATGGAAAGATTGACTTTCCTCTACAACTCTCTACTTACCTCATTTAGCAGATGGAAGGAAAGACAGAGGAACCGTGACTTGTCCAAGACACTGATTGAGCTGGTGCCAATTTACTTGTTAACTTGGTTTATTTCATGAGATTTATACACCCCTCGATTGTAAAAACAAACCAACAAACCTCAATGCAGTTTGCGGAAAAGTAGACTTGGTGGGGGAGGGATGAGGTGTACATATTGATACAGTTGGCCATGTTCAGTATGACGCATGCATACAAAGAAGCCTAGATCTGTGGCGTCACCACTGCTGGAGGGCACCACATTGGCTGTGATACTTCTCACAAAGTTGCATTCTGTTGTTCCTGTAGTGCTTCACTTCCTGTGGCAGTGACCAATGTGCATTAAAAAACATTTTTTCCAGTTGCTCCAGAATTCAGTCAGTGTTCATCCAGATGCTATTGAAAAAACTATAGATGCCATCATGGAACTGAAGAGGATTAATCCAGATGTAAACCCGCAGTAAGTTCGTGTGAATGGAGTGGGATGGCAAAAGTTATATGCTTAAATGATTGTGTGCTTCATCTCTGTGGGGGGTCTGTCTTCCCACATAAGTTCACAGTATTGTGTGCTTTGATTCTTTAGTTGTGCTCGCTGATGATCACAGGTGACTTGGTCTGGTTTCATTTTCTGTCTGTTCAGCCCTTTCATGTCTATGGTACAACTAGATCTGGAGGCAAAGCACCACCTGCAACAACCACATTATTAATCAATATGTTACAGGTTAGAATCATAGAATCATAGAGCTGGAATAGACCACAAGGGCCATCGAGTCCAACCCCCTGCCAAGCAGGAAACACCATCAGAGCACTCCTGACATATGGTTGTCAAGCCTCTGCTTAAAGACCTCCAAAGAAGGAGACTCCACCACACTCCTTGGCAGCAAATTCCACTGTCGAACAGCTCTTACTGTCAGGAAGTTCTTCCTAATGTTTAGGTGGAATCTTCTTTCTTGTAGTTTGGATCCATTGCTCCGTGTCCGCTTCTCTGGAGCAGCAGAAAACAACCTTTCTCCCTCCTCTATATGACATCCTTTTATATATTTGAACATGGCTATCATATCACCCCTTAACCTCCTCTTCTCCAGGCTAAACATGCCCAGCTCCCTTAGCCATTCCTCATAAGGCATCGTTTCCAGGCCTTTGACCATTTTGGTTGCCCTCCTCTGGACACGTTCCAGTTTGTCAGTGTCCTTCTTGAACTGTGGTGCCCAGAACTGGACACAGTACTCCAGGTGAGGTCTGACCAGAGCAGAATACAGTGGCACTATTACTTCCCTTGATCTAGATGCTATACTCCTATTGATGCAGCCCAGAATTGCATTGGCTTTTTTAGCTGCCGCGTCACACTGTTGGCTCATGTCAAGTTTGTGGTCAACCAAGACTCCTAGATCCTTTTCACATGTACTGCTCTCAAGCCAGGTGTCACCCATCTTGTATTTGTGCCTCTCATTTTTTTTTGCCCAAGTGCAATACTTTACATTTCTCCCTGTTAAAGTTCATCTTGTTTGTTTTGGCCCAGTTCTCTAATCTGTCAAGGTCGTTTTGAAGTGTGATCCTGTCCTCTGGGGTGTTAAGCCACCCCTCCCAGTTTGGTGTCATCTGCAAATTTGATCAGGGTGCCCTTGAGTCCATCATCCAAGTCATTGATAAAGATGTTGAATAAAGCTTCTTGAACCATGGCTTGTAAAAGGTGGAAATGAGCCAGTATGTAAACGTATATACACACAGGCCAGACACAGACACCGACACCGACACCCAGATTTCTGACCATGTTTTAGTTACCTGACCCACATCATCCCAAGTTTCCAGCATATATCCATGATGTGATGCTGTGGTCTAAACCACTGAGGTTCTTGATCAGAAGGTCAGTGGTTCGAATCCCCGCAACCAGGTGAGCTCCTGTTGCTCTGTCCCAGCTCCTGCCAACCTAACAGTTTGAAAGCATGCCAGTGCAAGTAGATAAATAAGTACCGCTGTGGCAGGAAGGTAAACGATATTTCCATGCACTCTGGCACTCATCACGGTCCTCCGTGCACCAGTAGCAGTTTAGTCATGCTGGCCACATGACCCAGAAAACTGTCTGTGGACAAACACTGACTCCCTCGGCCTGAAAGCAAGATGAGCACCGCAACCCCATAGTTGCTTTGACTGGACTTAACCGTCCAGGGGTCCTTTACCTTTTTACCTTGCTACAGAACTACTCCTGTTCCTAGGTTGTGTGTGAAGTTCTCCTTCAGCCTACGTTCTCACCGGCCACCTTTATGTTGCCTGTGTCATTTCTTCATGTGCACAGGGATGGTAAACATGCGTATTTTTTGTATTTACAATCTCAACCCAGACCCACCCACCTCAAAATAGTGCCCTACTCAGGGCTTCACTTATTATAAAGATGATTGGTATCTGTTTCCAATACCAGGCCTGGCTCCTAGATTATGTGAAGAAAAGTGTGCTCTGCACATGCTCAGAAGCATTTTCCTCATCATTAAACTATTACTGTTCATCTTCCCCAGAATTAAGGATCCAAACTTCTAGAGCATATGGTGTGTGTCCCCCCCCCCCATGTAGACCTGAGCTACAACTGTGGGGCAGCATGTCCCCCTTCCACACACAAAAATCCACACCAGGTTTTCCATTGCCACTTGGCAGAGAGCAAATCAGGTCTGCTGGAAGTGAAGGCTTATGGGAGAGCAGCAAAGAGCATAGTTGTCAAAGGGAGCTTTGAAAATGATGTGACCTTGGGGGAAGCAATGTCATTAGTCTCTTTCGCTTTTCTCCCTGCCCTGGGCATCACCTGTGGCAAAGCTTCTCTGCTATCAGTGCAGGCAGCGCAACATAGGTTCAGAATTGCCGTTCCATTGCCTCAGTGAGCATGCCTTTTCGCATTCATGAATGGGGGAAAGGATAAAAGTGTAGCTCCACGCTGAGGTAATGTCAATCATGCAAAGCTAAATTACTGAGGGTCGTGTTCTTACCGTTTGTCCTCTTTTCACTCTAGGCTAGGTGTCTCTCTGCAGGCCTGCCTCCTACAGATTGTAGGGTACAGGAATTTGATTGCAGAGGTGGAAAAACTGCGTAGAGAGCCCTATGATTCTGAGGATCCCCAGCATGAAGAAATGCTTCTGAAGGTAAGCCGTGGAGGCGCATTTCCAAAGAGCTCTTTACATTCCCAAAGACTGTTAACTGAAACCAGTCTCTGCAAAAGGCTTGACCGCACAATTGTCTGTACTGAGAACAGCTTGTTACCTCCAATTTATTTATTAGCATGATCTAGGCTAAGTGTAGAGGGACGCAGGTGGCGCTGTGGGTTAAACCACAGAGCCTAGGACTTGCCAGTCAGAAGGTCGGCGGTTCGAATCCCCACGACGGGGTGAGCTCTCATTGCTTGGTCCCTGCTCCTGCCAACCTAGCAGTTCGAAAGCATGTCAAAGTGCAAGTAGATAAATAGGTACCGCTCCAGCGGGAAGGTAAACGGCGTTTCCGTGCACTGCTCTGGTTCGCCAGAAGTGGCTTAGTCATGCTGGCCACATGACCCAGAAGCTGTACGCCGGCTCCCTCGGCCAATAAAGCAAGATGAGCGCCGTAACCCCAGAGTCGGCCACGACTGGACCTAATGGTCAGGGGTCCCTTTACCTTTTAGGCTAAGCGTGGGTAACCTTTTCTTTTGTCAAGGGCCACATTCCCTCTGAATTAATCTGCCAGGGGACACATGCCCTTGGGTAGGTTCCGAGACAAAAATGTTCTGGAGAAGCTAACTCAGAATAAAGATTCTCCTGTTCAGAATATCGGCTCATTTCTGTGTTTACCTCTCTCCTGCTTCTGATTCTGCACTTCTCTCTGCCACAGACTCCCCCCACTCACTAAGCCCTGTTACCTCTTCAGCTTCCGATATCTCCTCCTGGTCTCCTCCCTCTGACCACTTACCATCACACCACCACCAATCCCCTGGCCCTGAGCCTTCTTCCCTTGGGGGTTCCCCAGTTGTTTCCTCCCCCCCCTCCTCTGCAGCCAACCAGTCCATGATACAGATGCACCTCACCCAAGGCAGGGTTTTCATAAATGGGGAGCTACCACCAAGATGGCCCTGCCATCTGTGCAGCCTCCAGGGGTGGCGTCACCAACAAGGCTTCTCCTGATGAGCCCACATGCCAGTGTTGGGAAGGCAAAACAGGGCAGAGCAACAAATATAATTTTTTACCTTGACACATTTGGCACACCCCTCACACCACAGGGAGCCAGTGTGGTGTAGTGGTTAAGAGCTGTAGTCTCGTAATCTGGGGAACTGGGTTCGCGTCTCCGCTCCTCCACATGCAGCTGCTGGGTGACCTTGGGCTAGTCATACTTCTCTGAAGTCTCTCAGCCCCACTCACCTCACAGAGTGTTTGTTGTGGGGGAGGAAGGGAAAAGAGAATGTTAGCCGCTTTGAGACTCCTTCGGGTAGTGATAAAGTGGGATATCAAATCCAAACTCTTCTATGCTCCATCCAGACAAGCAAAGGCCTTATCAAGGACACTTTCCACACATGCAAAAACATAGTGGATGTGAAGCAGGGCCAATGAGGAGGTGGCCTGGAGACAGACTTTGGAGGGCCAGATTTGGTTCCCCTTGTCCCAGGTTCCCTACATCTCCTGTAAGGGATGTGCGGGTAAAATGATGCAGGCTGTTTGAGACCTGTTGAAACAGGTTTTCTAACACTGTTTACTTTTAAAACAGCCATAGGGAAGAGGAGTGTTGGAGGATGAAGGTGTTAATCTTTCTTTTCCTCAGAATGAGGGAAAGACAGGAATGAAATCTGTGGTGGGCCAAAGAAGAGGAGGGAAAGTATTGGGGTTTGGGTGTCCTGTCAGCAGAGACTGTTTGGCCAGAGGTGGTAAGGGGGGCAGTTAGTGGGGGACAGTAGTAGGTAGGCGGAGGTGACAAGCAACACAAGCAGGGGCACAGCCCCTAATGAAAAATAATAGTAAAGAATAAGGTTTAAATATTACTAATATTACTAATACTAAGGTCACCCCTTCATTTCTTGCTGCGCATCTCTTAGGGCGGCATGAATTTTTACTTGGGGGTCGGGCTGTGAAGCTGAGGGGCCCTGAATCTGCTCTCCTTCCTGAAAGCACTTGTATATGTCTCTTTTATTTCCTTGTTTGTTTGTGCCCTTGTGAAATTGGCTTAAAGGGGGGGGGGATCTCTCAAGCCTTGGAGAATCAAGAAGGCTAATTGCCTTAGTGCTTTGAAACTGCACTGAGATTTGCAACCAAATAAACTTGAGGGTCCCCCCCCCATTTATGCAGAGGCAGTGAATATGCCCAGTGAGCCCTTGTCAATGTTTTTACACCAATTCTACATTAGGCCAAAAGATGGGGGGGGGTTTTGGGTTTTTCCAGCAGGCCGTATTTCAAATGTCTGCTATGTCTAAGGAATACTTCTTCCTCAATCTGTATTTGCTCCAGGCTCTTCCGAATGCTGTGCATAACAATGAAGGCAAAATCCCATAGAGAACTACTAGTTTCAGAAATGTCAATCCATTGAAGGTCTGAGTTGTAACATACCTGTGATTTTTCCCTCCCCCTCCCCCTCCTGTAGCTATGGAAATGCTTGAAACCTGATTTCCCATTGGAAGCCCGGATTTCCAAGCAGTGGTGTGAAATTGGTTTCCAAGGCGATGATCCTAAAACAGATTTCAGAGGAATGGGCCTCCTGGGGCTGTATAACTTATTGTAAGTATATTTCTGTTTCTCTTAAAGGTTGAACCTAAAGGTATAAATTATCCGCCTGCTTATATGTTTCAGGCTTTATTAAGGCAATTGTCATTCTAGATAGCTTGTAGGTTCCTGCCACAGTTGCTGCAATTTTTCATCCCTCTTGATGAGAAGTAATTTCTTTTTTCTTTTCTAGGAACAATTTATTTCACATTCTCCACATCCCAGTTATACCCAGTGCTTCATGAGCAGACATTCTGCATGCCCAGCAATTGGGCTTTCCTTCTCCTCATGGGTGGCTCTGTGTTCTAAATCACAGAACCTAGGGCTTGCCGATCAGAAGGTCGGCAGTTCGAATCCCCGCTATGGGGTGAGCTCCCGTTGCTGTGTCCCTGCTCCTGCCAACCTAGCAGTTCGAAAGCACGTCAAAGTGCAAGTAGATAAATAGGTACCGCTCCGGCGGGAAGGTAAACGGCGTTTCCGTGCGCTGCTCTGGTTTGCCAGAAGCAGCTTAGTCATGACCTGTATGCCAGCTCCCTCGACCAATAAAGCGAGATGAGCGCCACAACCCCAGAGTCGTCCGCGACTGGACCTAACAGTCAGGGGTCCCTTTACCTTTCTCCTCACCCATCTAAGAATCTGTTCCAGACGTTCCCCCAATCCTGTATATTTAAAAACAATATTCATTGAGGCATCCAGTTTTTAAGAAAGCAATTCAATTTCCGTCTCTCATCACTCTCGTTTTCTCTCTCGCATAGCTGGTTAATTTTGCCATTGATCTGTGACACACACACACACACACACCCATAATTTCTCATACAAATGCACTCACTGACGGAGCTTTTCTTTGTCCCTAGCATGCGTGAATGCATTTATTTAGATCATTTTTAATAGGAGTCTATTGCACACATTGCAATATGTAAGATAAAGAGTGTAGCAGCACATGGCCACTTCACAGCCACGGAAAGAAGACTGACTGTCTTGCTTAAGTGTACAGATTACATATTCTTTATTATTGGTCATGGACCCACACAGAACAAAACCAACATTTGTACAGGTAGAATATCATAGCATGCAAAATACCTGAAAGTGAGTTGTAAAACATAAATGATATAAAATATCAGGAATATCTGAAACATGTTTAAAGTAAGGTGTAAAATATGATGACTTAAAATATAGAAGTTAAGAGTCAGTTGAAAAGCTCACCCCCCAAAAAAACACGTTTGCCAAACCTGGTTCATACGGTACATTTTAAATGTACAAACCAGGTATCTGCGTATAGTTTGAGGAAATGTACCCACAGATGTTTGGAGCGATGTTGTAAAACTCCGAAATGTGTTTTTCTCCTCCAGATATTTTGCTGAATGTGATGCTGCTGCAGCTCAGCAAATCCTCTCTGACTCCCTTCAACCAAGATACAGGTAACATTTTGAAGCTGGAAATAGCAGCCACCTCGAATGAATAAATCCTATTTGTAATAATTCAGCATCTCTTTTACTGTTAACATAAAAGATTGTCTGTGTTTCTCGAACTGTTACTTAAGATTAGAGAGATAAAATGCCTCATTTCCATGTGTTCTACAGTCTGATTTTACTGTTAAATACATAAAATTTAATCCAAGTTTATATTGATTTTTAAGCTATTTATTTTTCCTTTCCCTTTCGCCCCCATCTTTCACAATGAAGGGAAGTCACTAAAGAGGAGCTCAGGTATTTTTTTTTTCCTTTTGCCTTTTATAATCCTTTCAAAACTTAAAGCAGAAAAATATATATTCTAGGACAGCCTTTGCCAGCCTGGTGCCCTCCAGATGTTTCAGACTTCCATCAGCCCTAGCCAGAGCATGCTGATGTGGAAAAAAGGCCCCATTGATTCCAGAATATAATAATGTCTATGCAGAGCCTTAGTAGGAAGACAAGGCAAAGTGAGAAAGGGCAAAGACTTTCTCTCTGCTTTCCACCCGAAGACTAGGTCAGGCATAGGCAAACTCCAGCCCTCCAGATGTTTGGGACTACAATTCCCATCATCCCTGACCACTGGTCCTGTTAGCTGGGGATGATGGGAACTGTAGTCCCAAACATCTGGAGGGCCAGAGTTTGCCTATGCCTGGACTAGATGTATCAGGATTAGGTTACAGGAGAGTAGATCTCGCCTGAGCACTGGGTGAAACCTTTGGACGTTAAGAGCAATATGACAACTGGACCAATGAGGCAGAAGGGTGGTGGGCTTTTCCTTCCTGGGGGTCTTGAAGCAGAGGCAAGGACAGCCACCTCTTAAGGATGTATCTGTGGAATTCCTGCATCAGGCAGAGGGTTGAACCAGTTGACCTCCTGGACCACCTCCAGCTCAACCAGCAACCAATAGGTTGCCCTCCTCCTTATAGGACCGTGATATATTTTTCACACGTGGGACACTTCAAAGTACCTTTCCGACCGGCTGACCTTACTATGAAAAAGGGAGAACACATGATCAAAGCATAATTGAATCTCTGGATGTCAATGTTGCAAAGTGCTGCAATGGCCACGTGCTTAGATGGTTTCAAAATAGGGTAAGGAGGATAAAGCTAGCAAGAGCTACTAGTAGTCACAGTGGCCCAACAGAACCTTCAGGTTGGCCTTTCTTTTCCAGTTGCTGGTGAACAATAGCGAGAAAGGACTATAAGGGCCATGCAGCAGGCTGAGATGTGTGCATTCTGTAGCATGTCACTGATGCAATAGTAACACCTTAGTGGTGTATCTATACTGAGTCATCCACACACTGTTCTGCTTTATTAGTTGTTCTGCAGTGCTTTCCAAACATTACAGCATTATTGCTGTCCTGTGCACTATAGCACAACAGAAGCAGCACAAAACAACAACAACAACCCTGGAAATACTATGACATAAAAGGTTGTGTGCACTGATTGGAAACAGAGCAGGATGCCCACCCTGTAACCTTTGCAGGTCAAACAATATTGAAAGTGGAGTTGTGTATAGCTAGCATGAGCATAGATAATCAGGAATGCACAGTAAAAAGGATTTATGGAGGGGCTCTCTGTATATATCACTACTATGCCTTTCTTCTGAGCTTCCCAAAAGCATCTAGTTGGTCGCTTTTGGAAATACAGAACTGAACTAGATCAGTCTGGCCTGATCCTGCAAGGCTCTTTTTATGTTACTGTTTTCAATGCAATTGAGTAGTCTGTCTTAAAGCAACAAAACCAAATGTTGCTATCTTAAATTTGAAAGGGAAAAAAAAGTTGCTTAAAAACCAGCAGCAAGCACCAGGAAAAAGTACAGAAAATCGTTATATTATCTAATGCCAGATAGCGCCTCTGTTATTTTCTGTGGAATAGGGAATCCAAGGGCACAGTAATTATACGTGAATCCCTCACGTGCAATTTCATCAGCCACACACCCAGCCAGAAGAAGTGCACATTGTCTTTGTTCCAGGAGTACCACCGAAACGTTTGAGCAGCACTATGTTCATACCAAGGTCACAAGAATAGGCAGATGGCATAGAACCTGTTAGAATATTCTGGAGAGCTGGAGAGAATGTCGACAGCCTCCTGAAGGGCTTATGCCTTCAAACAGACAGTGGCTGAGGGCAGTTCCAGATGTGATATTTTTCGTTCGATCATTTCTACACCGCAGCTTCTAGGCATGTCTGATGGCAGCAGGAGAATTTATGACACTTAGGGTATTTTTCCCCCCAAAGGGGTTACTCGATAACATGAATGACTGTGCAGAGGGGTTCAGTCCAGGTGCCCAAAGTACAGCGCTCTGACCATTATGCCATACTGTCTGTCGCTGTGTGGAAGATTAATGGATTACCTCTATTAACAGATGCTTAAGACAACACTGCATTCTGTGAAGCTGAGTCAGTACAGAAGCATCTTTATTTTTAGAATTTTCACCTAGCAATGCCAAGCAACAACAAATACACCACAAGCTATTGGTGTTTGCAATGTGCTCTTTTTTTCTTTCTTTTTTAAGTGCCATTTCTTCCAGTCTAGTTTAAACACTAAAAGAATCATTAGTTTTATATAATCTGGGGGAGGAGGAGAGAGAGGGAGAGAGGTGAGGGTTGTATATGTTTTTCCTTGAAGAATGCAATCCTCTTTTTCACTTCTTAGTTCTTTAAATAGGCCAAAGTAGAAAGGCAAGCCTCAAAAATCACACAGAAGTCCAAACCTGGACTAAACTAAATAAATAAATTCAACACAGAGGGGAAAGGAAATGGTGGCCAAAGGCGTAGGCTTTGATGACAAAATAGATTTAGAATTCAGGACTGTGTGTATTACTGCGTTTCTGCACTGTTAGATAAAACCATATTCCATTTTCTGTGTGGCAAAGTTGTGGTGCGGCAAATCCCCCTGTCGTTCTTTGTGTGCATGTCTGTGCATGCAGTTTTCCAATAAAAAAGCATCTACCAGACCCAGAAATAATTTTAGAGACACGTATCTTCTAGAGTGCCTTTTTGTTGCTGTTGAGATGTTGTTGGTGGTAATGAAAAATATAATGTGTCGATATTTTATTAATCTGTGAAGTGGGATTCGTGCTTTGGGGTGGGGTGGGGCTTTAATTATTGCTATCAGGTGTGTTTTGTACTGTTTGGTGCTTTCTAGTGTGTCTGAAAAAAATTAACACAGCCCCTGCTATAGCAGCTGTAATAGCAAAAGCACCAAAGAAAGAGGAAAACTCCAAGGCTGTGTATTAGCCAAAATGATGGTAATGCCCTATCTAGCCTTTGCAAGTGTGCCAGGTATATCATATTTACACTTATAAACCATATCTATGCACGTATTTAATTAAAATATTATGCCTGACCTTAGACTTTCTAGGAGACGACCTGTATTAAGAAGTAGTATATGTAGTGCCTTTTGATGAACTGATCACGCTCTTGATGAAGAGCAGGAGACGGAATCAGTCCGTTGTTGCTCATAGAGTATTGGGCTTGGGTTCAAATCCTGCTCTGCCATAAAGCTCACTGGGTGGGCAAGTGAAACAGGTACAGTGGTACCTCTGGTTATGAACTTAATTTGTTCCGGAGGTCCGTTCTTAAACTGAAACCGTTCTTAATCTGAGGTACCACTTTAGCTAATGGGGCCTCCTGCTGCTGCTGCTACACCGCCGGTGCGCAATTTCTGTTCTCATCCTGAGGTAAAGTTCTTACCCCGAGGTACTACTTCCGGGTTAGCGGAGTCTGTAACCTGAGGTGTTTGTAACCCAAGGTACCACTGTATTAGTTTCTGCTAACTCAGCAGACTCCCCAGGGATGCAGAAACATATTTGTAAGTTAGTAGAAGGGATTAAAACAAACCTTCTAGAAATAGCTTGATAAGGTCTGAGTATGCAGAGGGCCCACTAGATTCAGTGGCAAATCCATGCTTAGAATACAGTTGAAATACAATGAAAATAATATAAGCAATTTGAAAAACCACTAAGCAGAAACCAACAGGTACCCAGATAGATGTGGCAGGGGCAGCCATGGTTCTGCCCCATTCAGACACAAACTGAGAGGGAGTGTGGAGATTCTCCCCAACCCCACAAAATTGTGAGGATGAAATGAGTTAGCCCCATCTTAAGCCACTCTGAAGGTCTTGTGGGAAATACCAAATACAATTACATTTTATATTTACACAATGTGTGTTATTTCAACCATCATTTTGGATATTAAATACACGCTTTTGCAACCATGTGGTGTGCTGAACCCTATTGACTTTTCCTGTATGGTATCTCTTGTGTGATGTACTCAAGTTTGTGGAAGCCAACATGTATGTTTAAAAATGTGTGTTTGCTTTCATCCTGGTTTTAAGTTAAAAGGGGGGGAAATGAGGCTAACAAAATCTCTGTTAAAGCCGGCAACAAAATTTAGAAGAAGCCTCTGTAGACCATTGCTCTCCCCAAACACATAAATATAACAATTTTTGATCATTTTTCCAAATGTTGGAGTGGGGAAACCAGCTTAATGTACCACCCTGAATTTGGAAGTCTGAGAGGCTGAAATTTCCAACATGTCTTGGATCAACTAGAAGCATCTGAAATACATCAGGTCACCTTGCTTTATAACTTATCAAGTTTTTCCTTCCACACCTTAAAAAATAAACTACTACAGCAGAATAAAAAGCCAGCTAGACACACACTTTCTCATTGTGCAGAAAGGCATTGGGTAACATTCAGACAACGCACTTGGGTTGGGTGTGCAACCATCATCCTAGGACTTAAACATCCTCTGAGTCTTGTTATGTGGATTTTCAAAACCTTCATCAGCTATTTAAATATAATAATAATAGCAGCTTTATTTTTATTTTATTTTTTATATATCTTTATTAATTTAAAATACACATTTATGGAAAAAAAGACGAACAAACAAATAAACATACAATCAAACACAAATAATAGAAGAATCAAGCAAACAACCACACACTATAAGAAACAACAAGATTAATATAACTATCATCATTTATACTCCTGGTACTGAAAGAAATTTAAAAAACTTAAAGAGAAGAAAATTAAAAATGACTTCCAATTAATCTCACTGTACTTTATCCATTACCTTATACTGCACAGTTACATATTTTTTATATAGCAGCTTTAAATATCACTGAAAACATTATGAGAGTTGAAATGTGCAATAGTATAATAAGGTACCGTAACTTAAGAACGTGAGAGAAAACTTTGTTATGTAACTTGAAAGATATAATGCCCGCCCCCTTTGATCACTGACTGCCCTCTCAGAAGAGGAATGGACCTTTGAGGGCAGTTCAGGAATGCAGCGATGCTTCTGCATATCACAGGTGTGTTGAATGGTTTAAACTGAGCCAACTGAGGGCCAGCTCACATACATCCCTAACATTAGAAACACCTTAGCAGTGAAGCATAGTAGGTGGCCTCTTGATTCGTGGCCACCACCAACCCAATCACTTTTCACTAAAGTAGCAGTGTTGGCTGATTACCTGGGCTAGTTTCAAATGACTTGGGTCACTTCAGGCTTACTGAATTTCAAAGACTGCAGTTAACCTTGCTCAGGGCTGAAAGGAATACAGAGATTTCCCCTGATTCTTCCCCATCCTTCAGCATCTCAGAATTGGCCCATCCTTCTATTTTATCCTTCTAAAAGCTTCACAGAGTATACATAAGCTGTCTTTGACAGAGAATATCCAAGGCATAGACCTCTTTTTAGACTGCACTGATGAGCATGTGATTGGGGCACAAGGCAAGCAGGTTAGGTTGGTTACAGAAGTTTACAAATTCTGGAGCTTAAAAGAATACAAAAACCCGCAACACCAAGAATAAAATGATACCAAGTCGATAGACCTTTTCACGATCACCATGCAGAGAGAGAAAACCGTTTCCGATTTGAACAGCAACTTCCGCTTTTTATTTTTCAGCAAATTCAGCAAGGCTGAATGGGAGAAGAAAAAGTTTGATAAGGCCATTGGGTAAGTATGTAATTCCAAGGTAGAAAGATCATGATTATGCTGCCGTTACCATGTTGATTATTTTGTTTTACTTACTTTCATTTCATTCATGTGCTTCCCAGAGGCATCTGTTTGGCCCTGGTGAGATGCTGGACTTGATGGACCATTGGCCTGTTCCAGCAGGCTGTTCTGAAGTTCTTATTTGACCTCCCCCCCTCCCACTTTCCATATGCCCAACCTTCATGCTCGCTGGCATCAGTTATTCTTAACTACGGGGAGGGACAACCTGTGGCCCTCCAGATGTTACTGTAAAGCATCTCCCACCGTCCCTGGCGATGAGCAACATCTAGAGGGCCACACATTCCTCACCCCATGCTTATCATTGAGGTGGAGGAATAAGGGATTGGGGGTATTACAGTCAAGCAACTCTTGGTTAAGCTTAATGGCTGGGATTCACCTAACGAACCTTGTCAAGGGAAGCTCTGCAGAAGAGCTTCCACTTGTGTAGCAGGGCTTCCCCCTCCTCTCCTCCTTCATGCCCCACCCCCCCAAATTGGTTTGGGAGAGGGCATTAGGAGAATTCCCAAAACAGCAGCAGCAGCACTGGTGGTGAATCACTTTGCTCCGTCTCTCCTCAAGAAGACTTTATTGAGCCCAAACATCTGGAAAGTTCAAAGGGCCATAGAGCTTTGTGGGCAGAAGGTCCCTGGTCAAACCCCCAGCATCCTCAGGGCTGAGAAGAACCTATTCCTGAAACCACTGCAGGCTCTATGGGTGGGGGAACTAGATCTGGCTGGTAAGCCAGATTCCTCAGTCCACCACCCTCCACGGGTCACGTCTGATAGGTGAGCAGGGCCATCCATAACAGCGTCAGGTGACTGTAACTGCTGGTCACCTATAGCATCAGGCATAGGGCAGGTGGGTGTGGTTTGTGAGGAGCAGCCTCGCAGTCCAAATTGGGATCATTGGGGAGGGGTTGTTTTGTTAATTATGTTGCGTATTTTTGTGTGTTTATGCTGTAAACTGCCCTGTGACCTCCCTCCAAAGGGTGGTACATCAGTCCATCAATCAATCCATCAGCCTTCTAGCCAGAGATTCCTCACCACTAGTGTAGATATTACTGAACTAGGTGACTATGTGTAAGGCAACTTTGTGTGTTGGGGACTGTCAGTCTGGACCGCCTGTAGTTGGTATTTCCGTGCCGCCATTTTCCTGGATGTGACTGTTTGGTTACCGCCAAATCTTTTAATCTTCGCCCCCTGTTTCTTGCAGCTACTCTTTTGCTATTGTTGGCATCAATATCACAGACCTTGCGTACAACCTGCTTGTGAGCGGTGCTCTGAAAACACACTTCTACAATGTTGCTCCAGAGGCTCCAACGTTATCCCATTTCCAACAGACGTTCTGTAAGTGTGTGTGTAAGAGAGAGAGAGAGAGAATAATTGTGTTTGTTGTGTTGGTAGCGTCCTTCCTTAATTGCTTCATGTGATCAATTATACAAAGCATCGCTGGCATTCCTTTGGTTAGATTATGTCCTTACAATAAGTTTGACATTTGTCTGGGGAATGATCCATTTTGTGGGACAACTGGTAATCTCAAACCAAAGAAACTTTTTCCATGTTTCCGTTGCAAGCTTTGACTGTGTCCTAACAACCACAAAGTAATTGGAAACAAAATTCCTTTCAACAAAATTACAGTACCGTGTCATAATCTGTTTCTCTTCCTTCCTGATACTGTCATTTATCTTGTCTTGTTGATTTGTTTTCCTTTTGAAGTTATTTCATTTCATTTTTCTCGTTTGTATACCGCCTTTCTATATTACCATGCTTGAGATCTGTGGATAAAGGGTGGTATGCAAATTTAACTTCTTCTTCTTCTTCCTATTATTATTATTATTACTGTACACAAGGCGTTTTGTAAGCTGAAGGAAAAAACAAAATATACAACAAAGATTGTACACCTTATAACAATCTGGTCCAATACAAAAAAAGTCACAATAAAAACATAACATTAAAATAAATGGCTTATATCAAATTAAGTAATATTCAATAATCCATCAGAATATAATGGACAATAAAACTAACTCTCAAAATATCAGCAAATAATAAGTAAACAGAAATTCACTTTTAACAATTACAGTATATTTTCCCTACTTGAATGCCGGCATAATCCCCAATCCCAAGGACTCTCTTCCACTATGAATCTCTATGTGACTTTGAGACAGAGAGAGAACTGTCTGGGGGCCCCAGTCCCTGAAGAGCAACATGGATTTTGCAGAACCCTCCCCGGTAGAGATTAAAGGAGCCTGTGTTCAACTTAAAATGCAGCCCCAGATTAAAAATTATTTATTAAAGAATCAGGATGGAAACATCCAAAGGCGCCATAGAAAACTCTTTCTTATTTATTTCAAAGTTTAATGAACACATTTGTTATTTTTCAAGAACACTACAATATAAAGGCATGAAGGCATATTTAAGATAGAGGGGGGAAATTAATGAATCCAAAATAATGTCTGCATTGTCTAATTAATGTTTATAAAATGTAGTGTCCTTCAGAGGACCTATTTATTGAGCATTCGTCTTGATTTGCTTGCACATAGCTTACATGGAGGTTAGATTATATCCAGTCCTCATTAAGCATTTGTTCTGATTTATTTGTGGGATGGTTATATGAAAACAAGCATTCATTCTGTTTTTCCTGTCCTGTGTTTATACATCTTGTTCATTCCCTACTTTTCAATACATTTTCCTCCCAACTGCAGAAATGTTACTTCTTTATTAAAGTGGATTTGTTGTGTTGGGGCAGTGGAGTGCTTTAATCCACTTTAATTACAGCAGACCTAAATTTCCCAGGTGCTACAGTATGTGTATAAAAGCAAATAAATAAATAAATGATGCTGCATGAAAAAGAAAAAAGTTGCACCCCTACAACCGGTGCTTTTTTTCAGGGGGTACGCAGGGGTACGCAATACCCCTTAAACATCTTGTGAATCTTAATATTCCTACTCAATATGAGTAGGAAAATGAGAGTCCCCCTAAACAGTTTTCTATAGAAAAAACGCATTGCCTACTACAGCCATCACAGCTGCTTCATCCCATACGCCCTTCCTTCACTGTGATTCTCGTGCTGAGCCAAGTGAGAACTTGCAGCTTGTGTTTTGGCAACAGCAGCGGTGAAAGGAGCACCAAACTTTCTCCCGCCCCCCCAGGTGTCCCCACCAGAAGTAGAGAGAGGAGCTCTTTCGGCACTATTGAACCTTAGAAGCCCCCTCTCCTCCAATTCCCCCCTCCCAGATTGCTGAGCGCCATTTCAACTGGGGCGATGAAGCAATTTCCGTTCATCACAGCTTCCTCTAACAAGGAGATCAGCACCAATAGTGAAGAAATGGCGTGTATGCACACCTACGGACAAGTTTTCTGTTTGTTTCTTATCGGAACGAATCATTTCTGAACCTTAGAGAATTCAAAACTCGTTTGTGGCATTGGAACACTTGAGTTTTGACTGGCCAGTGACACATCTCACCCATGAGGTGGTGCTGCTCTATTTGCACAGCCAATAAATGCTGTTTGATTTGAGTCTTCATACACTGTATGTTCCCCTATTCTGTTCCCTGCTCCTTCTTGCAGTGACATGACCCTTATTAGTTGCAGAGCACCTGGGCTCAGAAGGGGCAAGCAGCACAGAGGGATCCAACATTATTTTTTAGGGTGTTCTCAAAAATTATATCCTAGCACTACAAAGCACTTCATAGCCATATGTGCGATATATCCTCCCAGTCATTCTCTAAATTCTTCAGAAGGCAAGTTCATTGTTAGGGTTAAAAGATACCCCAGGCAATCTCTTGAGGTTGTGAATGAGCAGGAACTTTAAGCCAGGAAATAGTCTTATTGAGGCCATTGCTCAATACAGCAGTTCTGTTGCTGCTTAATGTATACTGATTATTAGTGCTGCCCGTTGTGTGATATGCTGCTGTTTCCAATTGCGTAATTTGTTTTGCAATGGTTGGATTTTTGTGTTTATTTTTTATTTTATATCTGTAAGCTGCTTTCCGCAACTTCTTAGTCAAGAGGGAAAGTGGGGAATGATTTTTTAAAAACAAGCAATAAAATACCCACTTTGCCAACCAAACACAGGTGACTCTGTGGTCTAAACTGAGCCTCTTGGGCTTGCCGATCCGAAGGTCGGAGGTTCGAATTCCTGCGACAGGTTGAGCTCCCGTGGCTCTGTCCCATCTCCTGGCAGCCTAGCAGTTCAGAAGCACACCAGTGCAAGTAGATAAATAGGTACCACTGTGGCAGGAAAGTAAAAGGAATTTCTGTGCACTCTGGCTTCCGTCACAATGTTCCGTTGCACCAGAAGCGGCTTAGTCATGCTGGCCACATGACCTGGAAAGCTGTCTGCAGACAAACGCCGGCTCCCTTGGCCTGAAAGCAAGATGAGCGCCGCAACCCCTTAGTCACCTTTGACTGGACTTAACCATCCAGGGGTCCTTTACCTTTTTTTTACCTTAGTATGTCACTAATTTAAAGCAGGAATGGATAATGCATGGCTTGGGGTGCGGGGGGGATTCTATTCAGGTTACATTTAAAGGCAAACAAAGCAAATCCATTAATTTATTCACAGTGTTCCTACATTACTTGAACACTGCTGTGTACTTGTTCCTCAGTTTCCACTCGCTGAGTTCAGCTGAGGAGATAAGCCACAGATTTTACATTTTTTTAAAAAAAGACTTCCCCAGGCAACGTGTCAGAATTGCAGCGAGCTCTTGTTTGTGTGGCAATGATAGCTGGACTCATTTGGCCTTGCAATTATTAGGTCAAATTCAGGCTGTCTTTGCACTTGCCCGATTCCCCTTGGCTTTTATTGTGCCTGATCGTGTGGAACTCAGCCACCCTCCTCTGTACAGAAGCAGCATTTCTGACACTCCAGGCGATGTAGACTGCTCTTCCCTATTTATCTGAAACTAATTGATATGCAAGGCTGGTGCACAACTCCAAAATGGAATACGCACAAGCTTTACGAGAGTCAGAAATACATTCACCAATTTCCGGAAACATCAGTTTCCTTCTCGCCTATACCAGGATATTTGTTTGCAGTTTGGAATATCATGTTCCGGAGCCACTGGAAAATGTATTGGCAGGTTAATTGTATTCCCCCCCCCCCCAATTCATCCTTCGGACATTTTAGTTATATGGAGAATGGTAGCCGATGTAGAAGTAAAATAAGAGGCTGCACCCCCAGGTTTTGTCCCACTTTTTGAAAAGATGCTCTTCCGCACTGCATTTTAAACTCCACATCTTCAAAAAGCACGGTGGGGATTGCAAGAAAAGCAGTTTAGGATACTGCTGTGGATTTTGCCAATTGGGTTTTCTTTTAAGCGTCTCTTGTGCTATTTGAGAGGGCACTGTTTGAGGACAGCTTTTGATTGCAAGCTCTATACTTGGGAATTTATTTTGAAAATCGCAAGGAAGCATATTTTGACTAAACATTGGGATCTGGTGGAAGGTAGAAGAGACCAGCCTTGAGAGGAGATATGCTCTTCTTTCGCTGGAGGTATTTTAGCCAAGCTGTAAGGGATGTTGGAGCTGAATTGTGCTTTGCGTGCCCCTCGCCGAGCAATGTTATTGAAGTTTCTAAATGTCTTAAATTATTGTTAATTTTTATTAGCAATAATTTTTATAGTTTTCAGCTTTTTTGTAAACCGCTCACACTTCGTAAACTGCGCTCGAGCGGCTTATAAATTTTTATGAAATAAATAAGGAAGCAGGTGCCAAAAGTTAAGGAAGACAGGAGAGGACCAACCATAGGCTGGCCTAGAAATTGGGACTGAAGAAGGCTTCAAAGGCAGATAGTATCAACTGATGCAGTGGGCAGAAAATGAATGGGGACCCTGTGAGATGAATGGGACTGTGAAACCAAGAGGAGAGGAGTGAGGACTATGGTAGGAGAAGCTAGGAAAAGGGAGGCTGGGTTTGCTCTGCTTTCTAACCATTTGACTCGGGTATCTTTCGCTCTCTCAGGCTATCTGATGCACGAATTCCATAAATTCTGGATTGAGGAGGACCCCCTGGACATCATGGAGTTCAACCGCGTGCGAGAGAAGTTCCACAAGCGCATTCTCAAACAGCTCCAGAATCCGAATATGGCCCTCTGCCCTCACTTCGCTGCCTCAGAAAGCCTGATCAACCTGTAGCTGTGAAACTTGGTTTGCTTTTTTGAAAACACTGCCTCATTCTTGTGTTATGCCACCATCCTAGAGATAAATCGCTAATGTATTGAATGACCATAGCGATGGTATGCATGCTTCTTGGTGCAGTATTCATCTCTCTCGCGCTCTCTCTCTTTTTCCAGCCAGCTCCTCATACTGCTTCTTCTGAGGGGGGTGGTTTTGTAATAAAGTTATGAGAGCTCATATTGCGGCATTTTGCAGTGTTAAGACATTATGAATTGATGTCCTGTATGAAGAAGTTTGGTTTTCCCCCCTGGTTTTTTTAGACTTTCCCCACCACTCTCCTTGTGCCACCCCATAATTCAGCATTTAATTAAAGAACAGCATTTCTCTAGCTGTTGGGGGTGTTTTGTATATGTGGAATATTTGAGTTGAAAATTTGTATTTGTGGACTGCTTTTGTTCTATGATAGCTAAGAACGTTTTTTGTTTTTTTAATTAAAAAAACACACATTATGATGCAGCTAAAGGGGAGTACTTTTAAAGGTCCCATTCCCAGTGAAACCAGTGAGGCTGAAAAGCACTTAACTTCAGCTGAATTGTGTCCTGTTTTTGTACAATATTTAGAAGGCAGTGTATGTGACTTGCACCTCATGCCAACATAGTACATTGAAGGCGAAGACTTTTTTCTCTCTCTCTCCAAGCAACCATGCATGTTTCATGCAGTTTTTAAAAAAATAAAGTTTATGATTAAAATGTGGAGATACAGTTGGCATACGCAGGACAAGGGATGAATTCTGGGAAACTGTGTGTTGAGCAAGTTTGAGAACACTGACCACATTGTGATAGCAAAGACCAAAAAATAAATAAATACACCAGTTATTACATGAGTATCCAAGGAGGGTTTGTTTTCTCACAAGTTTGCATTAGCCTACAGTTCAGCCTACTCCTGTTATCATGGCCAAATTGAAATAGCACTGCTTTGAAAACGCAGAGCTAATAACATGCATTTCTAGGTGACAGAATGTGACACAAATTGATCATGTGTGTGCTTGATTGCTTTAGGGGGGACCAAAAACACACACACACACAAATCTATATTTTCTTCATTTTTGAAGTATTGAATTTTAGGCCAAGAGAAATAAATTAACAAAGAGGCATCGAAGAAAACAAAGTAACTGGCGGTTAAGCATTGGACAAAGCGACTTTTTTTAAAAAAAAAAAAAAAAGCAAACATGCACTTTCTGTACGGAACATTCTCATGTCAAGCCTGTTGGAACGGTTAGCTAATGTACATATGTATACAATAGTGCTCATGCGCACATTTGGTTTGGGCAGGAAGCGGGGCCTGCAGAGGAGCATTCCCTGTCGGATTGTGACCAGCACCTCTGACACCATATGTAGCCTGTATCAAATCGTATTTACCATGGCACTTCATACCCATGGTAGCTTTTTACCTTCTGAAGTTTAGTATTCCGGGTAGTTTGTGAAGTTGCTTGCCTAGCAAGATTAAATTTGAGGTATTGCCTAATTATTTGTGGATTATATGAATAAATTACGTCACTCCAAACAGGAAGCTGTCTTGTGTATGTGGTTTATTCCTCAAGTACTTCAGTTATACGTTTTTATTGCCCAGGTGCATTCATGAAAGGTGGGGGTGGGGGGCAGGATGAAGCACAGTAATTCAGCTATGCTTTCTCTGAAGAAGCAATAGGTATAAAGGTAAAGGGACCCCTGACCATTAGGTCCAGTCGTGACCAACTCTGGGGTTGCGGCGCTCATCTCACTTTATTGGCCAAGGGAGCCGGCGTACAGCTTCCGGGTCATGTGGCCAGCATGACTAAGCCGCTTCTGGCAATCCAGAGCAGCGCATGGAAACGCCGTTTACCTTCCCGCCGGAGTGGTACCTATTTATCTACTTGCACTTTGACGTGCTTTCAAACTGCTAGGTTGGCAGGAGCAGGGACTGAGCAATGGGAACTCACCCCGTTGCAGGGATTCGAACCGCCAACCTTCTGTTCGGCAAGTCCTAGGCTCTGTGGCTTAACCCACAGCGCCATCCGCGTCCAGCAATAGGTATATTTCCCCCTAATAGTGAGGTAGCATCTCGGCTTGAACCACCCATCACATCTTGGGTGACTACTTTAATTGGCTTTGCTCAAGAGCTTTTGTAAAGTCTCTGGATTCTCACTCTTTCCAGGTTTTCGCTGTCCACCTAAAAGTAGGGTGAGAACGTGACAAATAGTGAGGTTGAAAGCACCTGTGATTATAAAGGTGCACATCTGAGTGTCTGGATCGACTGATGCTCCCTATTGCAATAAACACTATTTGCCACAGAATCGTGTAAAATGCCAAGCTCGAAAATGTGTTGACAATGCTTGGTTTAAGTTTTTCAGGGAGAAGGGACGTCAGTGCCTCGCATAGCTGTTTGGCTTTTTCTGTTCACTAGCAGAAGCATTGCAGCTGCAACATCAAATGCAGATACACTTACGGCTTACTGTGTAAACTGCCCAAGTTCCCCCTCCCACTTTTTTTTAACAAGCTGCCTTCTGACTGATCATCCCAAAATGTAATTTGGAACTAGATTTGGGTCAGAATGTTCAGTGGGAATTTGTACTAATGAGGCCCAGGGGCTATTATTCGTAATGCTTGCTGAGGCTTTGACTATCTCTTTGCCACTTGTGCCTAATAAAATAGCATGAATTATTTAAAAACAGGCGCTGTTTTGTTGGAAACAGTCCCAACATCAATGAATTATTCATTTCCCTTTCACCCTTCTCCCAACAGGTATGTGACAGCTTAGATTTCACAGAAGGTCTGCAAAATGCAGTGTTATTCCAACAATAGAATACTGTTGTAGTCCACTGTTACAATAGTTCTACATTGCCATGCTGCAACGTAGAATCGTAGACTTTGCTGCAGTGTAGAATTGTAAGGTTGGAAGGGACCGCTAGGATCATTATTCCAACCTCTTGCAATGCAGGAAACTTTTGTACAATGTGGGGCTCAAACCCACAGCCATGAGATTGAGTCTCATGCCCTAATGGCTATCCCAGCTGGCATGCTGTACCACTATCATTTAGGACTGGGAATTTCCATCTGTTCATGGGCTGAACGCAGCCTTTAGTTACCTACATGTGGTTTGAGGAACCAGACACATACGCTCATCATCCTCATCAAAGCCCCATCTGTCCATGCCCTCAGGGCTGGCTTAAGGCATTTTGCTACCTGAGGTAAAGGATAAGTTGGTGGCCCCTCCACCATTCCATGTATACAAGCTGACCTGGGCTGCCATTTTGAGTCTTACCACAACGTCAGTGATGAGACAGCACCCACCATGCTTGAAGGCAGTGTCCTAATTTAAGGGGTGAGGGCAGACTGTGAAGAGGGCCCACCACTCTGCCTTCCACGCCCTATCCCTTAGCATCCACGATCTGAGGCAGACAACCCACTTTGGCTAAAGGTAGGACCAGGCTTGTCTGCCCGCACATTCTGCTGTGAGGCAATTGATGACGAGAGAGAGGCCATTTTGTTTCTGGCATCCTGCCCATGGAGTGTGCACACCAGGGAAGTTCTATATAACTATACATGTCTCTTTGATGCTAGGCAAAAATCTTTAGGAAGGAGAAAAGCATGATGGGGGGAAGGAGAAACGGAAAAGGGAGGATGTGCTCAACAAGTGCATTGCTGCGAGAGAAGACAGGCTGTGGGTAGAAGCTTTTACTGCCTAACCTGCCCTCCCTGCCAGACCTCTTCCTTTCCCAGCACCACACAGGATCGAATCCTGCTGCTTACCAACTGGTAAGCAGAAGTTTCAAAGCTGTGTGCTTTGTGCTTCACAAATTGCTTCCTTATGTGCAGGGAAGATACAAAGGACCAGCCTGCCTCTTTGGTTTTGGGGTTGGTAAAAGGATGTGCAGTGCCTCCTTCCCCTCCTCTGCTCTCAACCTTATGTTGAAAAGAAGGTTTCAAAAATTCTTAACCCTAATCCTAATGCAGGTGGGGCAAATCAGGAGACCTGTGCACCAACCTAGTGAATATAATCTTATTCTCTTACACTTTCCCCGCTCAGTCTTTCTGCAGCTTCGTCCAATCTCAAAAATGCTGGCTGTTTCCATAATTCACCTTGAACCATAATCAAGGTGCCACTTGCTCTGAGATTCTGTAATATTTGAATTGGTGTTAAAGCAGGCCATTGTCGACCTAAGGATGCTAATGTGTTTGACAGCTCTTTGCAAAAAAACAACTAAAAGAATGCCCCTTTACTAAGGCTGACAAGAGGCAGAATGCACAGGCCCCAATGGATCCGCTGTGGGAAAACACTTGAGGAGTACATAGCCTGAGGCAATAGCTTGGTAGAAGAGTAAAAGTCCTTTTAAGGAAGTGTGAAATTTCCTTGCTATCTGGGTCAATCATGAGTCCTCTTGACATGCCTGAACTTTCAGGCTTTTTTGAGCTCCCCGTTTCAAGTTCTTTTAAAATAGGCAGGACCAACAGGCATGAGAGAATGGAAAATGGGATGCTCTGTGAATTTGATCCCAGGGAATGAATATTATATACAACTTTTCAACCGATGGGTGTAGTGATTATGTTCCACTCTGAAAAGCTGTGGGTTTCTTTCCAAAAGAGGGCATGAAAGAGACTTTGGCTGAAGCGAGATGATGGATATTAATACTCAAAAGTCGGTGTAGATGTAGACAAAAGTATTGTTTTACCATTCAATGCCTTGTGAGCAGCACTGGATGACTATGGACCACAGTTCTTATTTCCTCACAAGTTTGTGAGGAAAAAGTTGAAGAGAAAAACATGTATGCTGCCCTGAGCTTCTTAGAGGAGCATATAAATGTGACCTGTAAGGATGAGGGAGAAATTTCATTTGGTTCACATTTAAAGGTGAATCTATCAAATCCACACTTTCTGAAACTATGAGAACTGAAGCACAAACTTTGAAATGTGTATTCATGTGTGACCTGTTCCTTTTCTTCCCATACAAGAAGTACACGTCTTTGCAACTGCCACAGCGAACATGCAGCTCAGTGGTACAGCATCTGCTTTGCATGTAGGTCTCGGGTTCAATCTCTGAAGAACTAGGAGAGACTTGTCAGAAAATCTTGGAGAGCCACTGCCATTTAGAGTACTGAGGTAAATGGACTAGTGGTTCATCTTAGTATAGGCAGATTCCTGTGCTTCTACATCAGCCCAGTGAAAATGAATGCCTTTTGAATAAGCATACCCCTGCCATGCAAAATATTTGTAGCTTGGAAGTTCTAAAGATTTAAAAAAAAAAAGCTTGAATATTTAAGCTTCAGGATGTAGCAGGAAACCCCCTCCTCCCATCATTCAGTTTGTACAAACACTCACACTCACACACTACATACGCTACATTTCTGTTATAAATTCATAGAAAATCAACCATACATTGGATTTGCACTGTTCCACTTTTATTTTACTCCATGAAGGAAGGACTACAAAATGGGGAAGGTTTGATACAGGCCAGCCATAATCCCTTGAACATCCCAGCACATCCAAAGGAGCCCTGCCCAGTTGCTATGCCAACCCTGATGGTCCTAGACAGAAGACAATCAAGATCACAAAGAACTTCCATATGGGAGTGGATTCAGCATGGACTGGAACAAAGGACAATGATCAGATCTTCCCTCAGGGGGCAGGAAACTGCGACTACCTTTTGTCTTCTGAAAATGACTCATGGGGAGGGGGAGAAGGGAACCAGCCAGGTGACAGGACACTCAGGTTACCACCACAACTCCTCCCTCAACCCCTCCTTTCTGTAATGTATGCATGATGTTTCTGGGGGTGGGCTTGACCTACAGGATGGGAATTTCAAAAGTCTTTATAAGACCTTGCACACCATTTTTCTTTGTCTTTCCTCTCTCCTGCAAGTGAGGGGAACACCCTGTTGCAACAGTTCAATAAAGGCCAAGCCTACAGGCTGCTGTTTTGCTCCAAGTTATCCTTGTTGGTGTCTTTGTTTTTGTCCAAGGGAGCCCTCGGATTTTTCCGGTAACAAGGATAAGAGCTGACTAGCTAGTACAACTGTGCTAAATGACTTTGGAAAGCATACAATTCCGCCCCTGCCCAGTGGCGTAGCGTGGGGGGTGCAGGGGGGGCCGGCCACACCGGGCGCAACATCTGGGGGGGGCGCGCTCAAGACTCGAGTGCTAAAATCCACGGGTTAGGGGGCGCAAAATTACTTGCCTTGCCCCGGGTGCTGACAACCCACGCTACGCCTCTGCCCATGCCTTCTGCCCCCATTCCTACAAGCTAAACTGAAGATAAGCCCTGGGCAAAGAAGACGACCCATCTCAGCTGTAGAAGTGAGGAATGATTTAGTGAGCCTTTGAGGGCGACATTCTGAAAGTGTCAACATTTATCAGACTTCAACTCCTATTCGGTGCTACATCTGGGCGAGAACTAAGGCTTTATAAAGGTCCTTCTGACCTTTTCCTTATTTAGCAATTTAGAAAAATTCTGTGGCCTTTGGGGCATCACCAAACAAAGCTATACAGACCTATTTCCCCTTGATCTCCATGGTTCTTTTAATGCTGCTTTTGTTGTCCTAAGGAATGTAGATTGGCATGCTGTTGTTGTTGCTGTTGTTGATGACATGCCCTTTGTGAATGTTATTTCGTTCTTGGTCCTGAAAAGAAATCTAACTTGGTTGCTAAAAGGCCCGTCATGATGGAGGTGTGTGATATAGATAAGGCCTGAGGGAATGTCAGTCAATTAAGGCCACATCTGCATCATATATTTAAAGCACTATTAACAGCCATGGCTTCCCACAAAGCATTCTGGGAGCTGTAATTTGTGAAGGGTGCTGAGAGTTGTTAAGGTAAAGGTAAAGGGACCGTTAGGTCCAGTCGTGACCGACTCTGGGGTTGCGGCGCTCATCTCGCTTTATTGGCCGAGGGAGCCGGCGTACAGCTTCCAGGTCATGTGGCCAGCATGACTAAGCCGCTTTTGGCGAACCAGAGCAGTGCACAGAAACGCCGTTTACCTTCCCGCCGGAGCGGTACCTATTTATCGACTTGCACTTTGACGTGCTTTCGAACTGCTAGGTTGGCAGGAGCTGGGACCAAGCAACAGGAGCTCACCCTGTCGTGGGGATTCGAACCGCCGACCTTCTGATCGGCAAGTCCTAAGCTCTGTGGTTTAACCCACAGTGCCACCCGCATCCCTTACTGAGAGTTGTTAGGAGACCCTTATTCCCCTCGCAGAGCAACAACTCCAAGATTTCTCTGGGAGGAGGGATTGATTGCTAAACCCCTCTGGAAACTGTCGCTCTGTGAAGGGAATAGCTGTGGAGGCTCCCAAGCAGTTCCTTGGAAACATTTTAATGCCAGGGGAAGGCTTCATAATATCAGATGAAGACACACACGCACACTGATGTGAGACAGAGGCACGGCATGTGAACTACAAGACTCTTCCAAATTAAACTGCAGGGGATTTGCGGCCTATGGAAACAGATGATTAGCCATTCTCGGGAGGCGGCTGCATGATTCAGAGGCCACTGATGGCACGCAACCGAATTGTGAGAATTAGTGAAAGTGTGGGCAGCTTCTTCTGATAGGCGAGTCCAGTGCCAAGGTTATGACCTCTCACTTAGCGCAGGCCAAGTTCTCTTCTGGGACAGGGTTCTTAGGTTACCTCACAACTCTGCTCCTTCCAACACTGGTAGGGCAACATGAGACGCTTAGGAGCATGCAAAGTGAAGTAAAGACTAACACTGCCTTCTCTACTGAAGAGAAGGGGTAGTATGTGGAAGAGCTGCAGAGGTGGTTCCAAACTGTGGCCTTGCATTTCCACAGTAATCCAAGAAAGATGCAGGGCCAGTAAGGTGAGGGTATCCAACAAGGTGCCCTCCATTTGCTGCCGGGCTGCCCTTTTCATCAATCCTGACCTTTTGCCATGTTGGCTGGAGCTGATGAGAGCTGTAGCTTCTGGAGGTTGTAAGATTGAGGAAGCCTGTCTTAAATCTGCGTCAGATGAGAAGAGATTACCGATGAGGCTTGCATAAGAAGCTGCCTTCTACCATTGGCCATTCAAACTACAAGAAATGAGATCCCAACCAAACACCAGGAAGAACTTTCTGACAGAACTGTTTGACAGTGGAACAGACTCCCATGAGAGGTGGTGGGTTCTCCTTCATGGGGGGTTTTTAAGCAAAGGTTATGTATGCTCTAGCTGAAATTCCTGCATTGCAAGAGGTTGGACCAGTAGATGACCCTTAGGATCCCTTCGAACTCTACGATTCTATGATAGGCAGTGGCTCTCCAGGGTTGCAGTGGGGGTCTCTCCCAACCCTACTAGAAGATGCTGGTGATTGGCCCTAGGGCCTTTTCCATGTAAAGCATGGGCTCAATCACTCAGCCGCGACCCTTGACCTTAAAGCCCTTTCCAAATAGCTATCTGAAAAGGTATTCAGTACGGAATAAGAGAAGCGTTGTTATAAACCAAGTGCCATTCCAATTACAGGATGGCATTGCAGAGAGGGCTATCGTTGGCTAGCTCAGGTTGCAGTCATAAGAACATAGGAGAGCTTAGGAGGAACATAATAAGCTGCCTTATGCTGAGTCAGACCATTGGTCCATCTGTGGATCATTGTAATGTCTACACCAACGTGCAGTGACTCTTCAGAGTTTCAGGCAGAAGTTTCCCCCAGCTTTACCTGGAGAAACCAGAGATTGAAACTATGACCTTTTGTGTACAAGACAGATGCTCTATCACTAAGCTACAGTTTCCCCCCATAATTCTATACCCACTCATCTGCCATTGAACTTAATGGGGCCGACAGCTATAGAATTGTGCTGTTATTGTTTAATTAAATATATATATTTAGACTGACGTGACCTGGGACTGGGTGGCGCTGTGGGTAAAAGCCTCAGCGCCTAGGGCTTGCCGATCGAAAGGTCGGCGGTTCGAATCCCCGCGGCGGGGTGCGCTCCCATTGCTCGGTCCCAGCGCCTGCCAACCTAGCAGTTCGAAAGCACCCCCGGGTGCAAGTAGATAAATAGGTACCGCTTACTGGCGGGAAGGTAAACGGCGTTTCCGTGTGCCGCGCTGGCTCGCCAGATGCAGCTTTGTCACGCTGGCCACGTGACCCGGAAGTGTCTGCGGACAGCGCTGGCCCCCAGCCTCTTAAGTGGGATGGGCGCACAACCCTAGAGTCAGACATGACTGGCCCGTACGGGCAGGGGTACCTTTACCTTTATTTAGACTGACGTGACCTGGGACTGGTGTATCTCAAGAAAAGTTCTCTCTCCTAGTGTACTTCTGGTGTCTTCAGGAAGGGCCCTTCTCTAGCTTCCATTTCCCAAATTCCACAGAGCATCTACAAAGCATAGGAGCAGGGTCTTCTTAGGAGTGGCACCTTGCATGCTATTTTTGACAGTTTGGTGGACCTAATAAAGGTATTGCCCTAATGTGGCTTTGAATCCACCACCACCCTGCCCTTATGAGCCAACATATTTATCTTTCGAAGAAAATTAATGAGAAGGGGAAAAATGCATCCTACTTAGTTCTTTATTCAAATGACAGCAACAGAGGATGAATGAAGCTACGTGGTCACATTTCAGGTATGTAAATCTGACCACACAAACAAGAGGGAGTCAGAAAACAGACAGACACAGACTTGAAAGGTGCTCGGAGTCACCATAATGGCTCCATGTGTTGATTGTGAAGGACAAGGATACTTCAGTGCTTTCATTGCTTTGTAGCTAGCTTACATATTTGCATCATCCTAGGTCAATTTGAATTTGTGGGCAGATATAGGCAAGAGGTATTTTAGAGTATTGTTTTCTTTTTTAAAAAAATTGACACACAGACAAAGAGCAGGCATAGGACTGCTCCTATATAGTAGAATTTGCATTCTTTTTCTGAACGTAGATCCCTCACTCACTCCCAAGGGGCAGGAGGGAGTCTTTCAGTCTTGGTATGACTTTACCAGAAGCCACATGAGGAGAACCGTGATCAGTACAATCATGAAGTTGAGGAAGAGCTCTTGTGTGGACCGTTCCATGGCTACGAAGAGACGAGGGGAGATCTGAGGCCGTGGGGGGAAACGCCAAGGGCCACCTTTTGTTTCGCGTTGTCCTTGAGATCAACCTTGTCCTCTCCTAAAGAACAAGGAGAAAAGCCCAACAAAACAAGACGTGTGGAAATCGGAAAGCTGCTCCAACACTATTTATACCACTGTAAGTAAATGTTATTTCAACTGCTAACCTTTAGAGCGAGTAAGAGATTAAAAAAAAAAAATAGCAGGAGGTATCTCTAACAGCTTAGCGCCTTCTTCAATTTCTGCTGTGAAACGGGCTCTATTCTCCATGTCGCCAAATATATATATACACAAGCGCACGCACGCACACCCACACACTGGAATCCAGAGGATCTCATTTGGATTTGCGATCCTTTTTCTTAATAATGATAAATAACAATACCTTTATTTATGGTTTTGTAAAGGGGAATGACATTGGCAACCACATTTGAAGGGGAATGTAATGATTAAAATCTTAATATGTATTATTTTAAAAAGAAAAACCATTATTTTGAGGGAATGGGATAGCTGGGGACAGTCAGATTTTACTAAGCTCCAGTTCTCATCCTCTCCAGCTAGCATGGCCAGTGGTCAGGGGTGATGGGAACATCTGGTTGCCCATTGTTTTTCATCTCTCTTTCATTTTTCTTAGCAAAGCGACTAACCCGCATGGAGGTTAGTTGTCTTCTAAGACCATAAGTCTTCACAATGACTGGTACAAGCCACAGTTCCCATTAGCTTTTCTACATCTTTGGCAATGCTTTGGTGCTTTTCAAACATCTTTGAAAAGTACTATTCTTCTTCTGTACGTAGTTACAAAACGCTGAATTTTGCTTAAGAGGCTGCACTACCAGTTTCCAAAAAAGAAATTATAAGCAGCAAAGATTTCCATTTAGTTAACCGCAGCTAGTCTGGGTCTTCATGTCTTTTATTTAATTTTTCAAGTTCTCTAGGTAAGTCATGGATAAAGAAATTTACCATCAATCCTGTGCCTTTTTTAGTGAACGTAATGGTGCAATCCTATGATTTTTTTATTCAAAAGTAAGTCCCACTGATTACATCCTTAATTCCACTGAGTAGAAGCAGACTTAATACCAACCGTGTGTGTATAGAATTGAAAACTGAAAGCAATAATACCATCAAACATTACTTTGGTAGTGTTGGCATTATAAACTCATATTAATAATTTATACCCTGCCCATCTGGCTGAGTTTCATAAAACCTCATAGTATTATCTTTAAAATACATTAACAATAATAAACATTTAAATAGTGCATTTTTAAGAGTGCTTCATGTAGATTTTCTCAGTAATTCTTACAAACACCCCTGTAAGGTATGTCATCATGCTGTTTCCTCTGTTTTGCAGATGAAAAGCTCAGGCTGAGAAATAGTGGCTTAAAGCTGTGGTTCACCGCTGAGCTGAGATTTAGTTCAGACTTGCAGCCCACAGCTTATTTCTCAACCATTATGTTGAAACAGCCTTGTGCAATGTCAGATCAGCATAGAATCATCAAATCAAAGAATCGTAGAATTGTAGAGTTGGAAGGAACTTGGGGAATGCAAGAATCTCAGCATGTGCCACCCTGTCCAATTTGAAACCATACTTGACTTTGCCTATCTTCGTAAATGATATTGCAAATGCTATATTGCCTTCAGTTCTAACAGCCCTTAGGTCAAATCTACCATGACTATTGGGTTCAGTCCTAATAAGCGGCTCTGATCAATTCATTTCTCATTGGTCTCAGTTCCTGGGGATAATAGCAATTTGTCTCACAAGTGTAGAAAGAGAATAAATGAGACAAATAATCTAAAGCTGTTGGTGCAGTAAAATTGTGGTCCCGCCCATAGAAAAGGAACAGGTGTACCCTGATAAAATAAATGTTAATGATTGCAACCAGCAAGCATTATATAATATCATATTTTTTATAAATAAATAAAAACTAGGGAAACTTCAATGTTACACACTGTTAGAACCAGGAAGGACTAATGAGACATTTTCAGCATAAACACAAGATGCTTTAAATGTCAGACTGTTCTCAAACTTTGGGTGTTTAAGTTTTCTATCACCTTTGAAGATAGAAGGAAGATCTATGCATATAAAACAGAACATCTCTTAGTCTACCTGAAGGGGATTGATGGAGCAGAGAGCTTCAGCCTGTGGTACCCAGGGCTTCCTCAGCTTCTCTTCATCTCCCAGTGCAGTCTGGATTCCCAGTTCCTCAGCTGGGACTAAAGTAGCCAGAGGAAGGAGACCAGCAAGGGAATTGGCAACAAAAACAATGACGTCGCCAGCTGCATATTTAAGAGAGGTTGGGCTGATGAGCGGAATTTTGCTCAGGCTATTTATGCATGGAGCGAGAGAGGAGGGGTATGTATTGATTTACATATTACCTTTGGATTCTTTCCTGCGGTTGATTGTAAGAATGCCCAGGAATACTTAACAGACGAGGGAACTTCTAGATTTTTTTTTGAAGGCAATTCTGCTTCAAAGCCAAAGGATCATCCACAAAGAGAGAGGGGACCACAATTGCCAGGAATGTTCTGTGTTCTTCTTGATCAAGGCAAGACTTTACTCAGCCTTTTGAGTGGATTCCAGATTCTCCTTAGTTTACTCGATAAGCGCAGCCACCTGTTGCTGTCTTAAATCCTGATTATAGCAGCCTCTTTTGACTTATCGTGTTCCTATACGTTTAACCAAAGATAGAACAGTGGGAGCAAAATAGCTCTTGTGTGCCAAGTCTTAAGTAACAAAGTACTGATGTCAAATGCAGAGAAAGGAGTTCAGATTTAAAGTATTCTGAACATGTGTGCCTTGATTGCTATGTGTATTATTTAGTGTATTAGTTAATAGTGTTTTGATGCTCTCCCCCTGACCGCATGCTTGCTTGCTTGCTAGCTTGTTTATTTCTTTATTTCTTTATATGTTTTTATAGTGTTGTTGGTGCCTAATGTTTTGAAGAGACCAACAGGACTGGTCTCTAACGCCTGGAGCTTTTTTTAAAAAATGTATTTTTATTAAAGATTTTCTTGATTTACAAAAGTATGTGCAATGTCTCTCTCTTGTATTTTTTCCATGTAACATTTTTACAAATCAGTTTCACTTGTTGAGACATTAGGAAGAAAGTGGGGAAAGGGGTGGAGGGGGGGGAAGATGGGTGGGGGTGGGGTCGGGTTGCGATGTTTCTATTTTACTTAATATATGTAGGGTTTGGTGTAAGCGTTGCTTGTGCAGGTTTTCTGCTGTTCACTTGTGTTCCTTTGGTGGTGAGAGAGGTTGGGGTTGGCCTAGGGTGTGGTTGTTCATTTGTAGATGGCTGTGGTGGTCTTTGTTTTCATGTGTGAGTGCGGTGGGTGGGTGTTTTGGTTCAGGTTAGCCATACTGATTTGTATGCTGTTGGTGGAGTTTTGTCATTGTCTTGTTGGGCTGTGTATGTGATAAAGGGGAGCCATACTGGGGTGAAATGCCTGGAGCTTATGTTAGCCCATTTTATTTTATTTCAGTGAGAAAACCCGGTTTGCATTAAATGTGGGAAATGTTTTTTCACTTCTTAAAACGGAAGGTGCTTCCATACTTAACTTCACCTTGAAGCATAGAACCTTGAAGAACGCCTAGCACAGGACCAGTTAGGACACCAACATGTACATAAATGCTGGGTCACAGAATCATAGAATTTTATAATTGGAAGTGACTCCGACGATCATTTCGTCCAACTCCCAGCAATGCAGGAATATGCAGTTGTCTCATACAGGGATGGAACCTGCAACCTTGGTGTTACCAGCACCACACTCAAACCATCTGAGCTATCCATAAAGAATGCCATGCATTGGTTAAATGGGCCAAAGTGTGACCGAGATAGGGCAATTGAAAAATCCTTAGACAGTATGACCTGCCCTATGGATGGTCTCCTAGCATGTCAGCCTAGTGTAGCTGAGGAGTTGTCATGCGACAAAAAGGCAGCAAGGAGATCCTAAAAGGCAGCACATTCAGATTTCTAATCTTAAACTGAAAGCCCCACATTGTGTCAAGGGAAAATTCACTCTTCCTCCCTTTGCCTCCATCTGTCAGAGGGCGGGATGGGGGAAACCCAAGGCTATGCACATACACACACATCATCAGCTTGAAATACGGTGTGGTTGTTTCCCACCTCTCCCCTGCACAGCGTTTTGAGTCACACTGCTGTACAAACCGGAGAGAGGGCAACGGTTGTCTGAAATGAGCACACCTCAGCTTAAGTGCAGCTTTTTGTTTTCAGATCGGATGGAAGCTGGTTCGAGAGAAAGTGTGTATTTCTCAGGCGTATTTCTCAAGCAGCTGCAGGATACTGATGGATTGTGGCTGGCCTCTTGTGTACTCGGCTTCAAACACCAGTGGTGGGAGTGCGCTAGAGCTGGTCATGTGTACACACAGCTCGAGAGGCTTTCTCAGCCTGGGAGAGGAAGAGTCATGTTCCGGGAAGAAGTTAGGGGTCATGGGAGGGAGCTGAGGGGAGCTGAAATAGCAGGGGGTGCAGGCATGCTATGGAGAGAGGAGGCAAGTCGATTAAACAAGAAGGTGATTGAGGAAATCAACAAAGTAGGCTTTGATCTCAATCCATTTGAAATGCAATGAGCACATTCAGATTCCTCCAACGTAACCCCATGGATGTCTGCATAAAAGTGAGTTTTGCCGAGTCTCCAACATAAAATGGCAGCCTTCATGTTGGGCAGGTGCAACAGCCCATTACTGGTGCCTGCATCTGCTTTCTTTGATTCCACTATACATACTTCTCTCAGATAAGGCTATCAATGGCCCCGCCATGATGGCAAGATACTACCCCCAGTGTCAAAGGCGGTACATCTCTGAGTATTAGGTGCTGGGAAGCACGAACATGAGAAGGCTGTTGTACTCATGTCCTGCCTGTAGATTTGCCCCAGGCATCTGATTGGCCACTGTGAGAACTAGATACTGAACTAGAGAGGCCTTTGGTCTGATCCTACATTATTCTACCCTTTGTGGATCTTTGCTTCCCATTTCTAAACAAATCCAAATCTTTTAACCTTTCAAAAAAAAATGCCAGTCGCAAGTTCCTTCTTCATCCCTTACATATTCAGACGTGAGGTCCTGGTCTATATTTAACGTCCCCGTGTTTGTGACAAATTCCTCTTCAGTAATGCACCAAGCAGCATGTAGTCCTCCCGTATAACTTTACATAACGGGACTGCAATTTCTCATAATGCTGTTCCGCAGAGGAGACTCAATCCAAGATGGCTGATTTCAAAAAGCTTAAGGAACTGCTGGGTCAGAAATACTCCCACGGTCAGAAATGCTCCAAGAGAAGGGAGTAACTCCTTCTTCAAAGTTGGGAAAGCACCAACTAGGATTTGGAAAGGAGGCGTGAAGACTCTAGGACCCTGTCAGAGACTTGCACCTCCTTCAGCAAACCCCACCTTGGGTTGGACGTTGGACCACCCCAGACTAGATGATCCTCAGAATCCCTTCCAATTCTAAGATTCTTTTGTTCCACTTTTGTTATCTTCTTTGGTGATGCATAGTTGGAAGAGCTTTAGGATAAGAGCAAAGATGACTCCAGCAGTTAAATTTCTTGAGGCAAAACACATGCATATTCCAGGTAGCAACGAAGGACAAACAAATCTGTCTGTTTTGGTTTCTCACAATAGTTCAACTCTTAGCTCTTTATTTCAGTTCTCTACATTTCTGTATCAGTTTACGTTTTAAAGAGAAAGAGAAAAAGGAAGCCATCACAAAAATTCATCGGTATTTTAGTGTGCACTTCTGATATCGATGATGAAAAATTATATCTTGTCCTTTCTCCCAAAGGAGCACAAGGTGGCAATTTTGCCTAATATATCATCATCACCACCACCATCATCATTAAATTTATTATCCACCCTTCACCAACAAGTCCCATGGCAGGTTACAGCCATTCAGCATTTAAAAAAACAGTTACAACAGATTGCAGTCACAGGAATAGGGTGTGCCCTGAAAACACACATCTCAGATGTCAAAGGCCGGGGAAAATAAGTGTCTTCAGCATTCATCAAAAGCTGCATAATAGCGAAGAATTCAGAAGCACCTCTGTTGGGGAGGAAATTCCACAACTTGGGAGCATATACACATCTTTCCCAAGACAGTGGTACCTCGGGTTACATATGCTTCAGGTTACATACGCTTCAGGTTACAGACTCCGCTAACCCAGAAATAGTGCTTCAGGTTAAGAGCTTTGCTTCAGGATGAGAACAGAAATCGTGCTCCAGCGGCGCGGCGGCAGCAGGAGGCCCCATTAGCTAAAGTGGTGCTTCAGGTTAAGAACAGTTTCAGGTTAAGAACGGACCTCCGGAACGAATTAAGTACTTAACCCGAGGTGCCACTGTATGCATTTTTGTATGTTATTTTCACTTACACACTGACTTCTATGCACACTTTCCCCTAATGCATGCATTTTGTGTACACATTTTTCTTTTGGAGATGTGAATTGCAAAATTTGGAGAAGTGCAAATTTCAAAGAGCTGTGTTTCAGTTTGAATATTGTTTCAGGGACCGTGACTTAGGCAGGTCTGCATTTTAAGCTGGATTTCTCCCCAGGCCTAGTAGCAACACCAGTGAAGTGATTCGCCTGTGAGGTGCAACCTCTGTGGTATTTTCTGGCACACTTCAGCAGACCGCTTCCTATTTAACAGGAATGGGAAAGGCATGCACACTGCTTGATCCTTGGGGAGAAGGAGCTGACTCAACTGCCTTGAGGGAAATCAAGCTCATGGATAGCATTTACAAGGTTAAACACTGGAGGAAGCAAAGGCCTAATATTAACAGACATCTTAGTCAACAGAAGCATCAGCTGGTTTTAGGAGTAGCCATGAACTTTTCTCCCATTGGGTGAGTCAGCACCCTCCCTCCTTCATAATTTATTAAGATATTTGCAGTGAAATTGACAGGGACATATGCCAGCAATTCAAATTGTGACTCAGTTCTCAGTCTTGCACCACTCCCACCCCTCTTGCGCTAAGTGGCCTGTTTATTTTTTTTTAAAGAAATTATAAAGCACCCAACGTACATATATTGAATTTAACATTCACATGTTGTTACATATATATTTTAAGGCATGAATTTTCAAACGTTGCAGTGGGTGATGAGGGACTAGAAGTCGACCTGTGATGACACAAGTGCTAGCCAATCACCCCTCTGCACAACTAGCTTCTGGTGCTGACATTCCTGTTTACCCAGCCATTCGATGACTGAAATATGCTGACCATGGCAACTGTAAAATTAAGAACTGTGAGGGTATGTGATTGTTTTTTAAAAAAT